GCCGTCAAACCGAATATCGAGATCTGCCCGGCCAGGAGTCAACCATGAATGCCGTCGCGGATCTTTCGATGTGGGATCCTCTTGGCAGCTTACTCGGACCATCTTGGAGCCTCGCTAGAGCCATGTTGGAGGCCCTTGGGGCCCTGGGGGCCCTTTAGGGGATCTCTCAGAGGCCTTGGGCACCCTCTTTGGGCCATCTTGGATGACATCGATCAAAGGAGGGGAGGCGGTCTTAATTATCGTTGCCCCTCTTGAGCTTTGAACGTCGCGTTTGGGGGCCCTCTTGGGGCGCTCTTTGGGCTCACTTGGCTCCCTTTTGAGTCTACTTGCCGAACACATTGGTCTTCCATTGGTTTTGGAAGGATCTGGGTCTATTGGGGGCCTCCTTGGGAGGCTCCGTGGCCACTCGGTGCAGTCTTGGGGGTGCCTCGGGGCCTCGTGGAGACAGTGCTGGCCAGTTTGAGTCATCTTCATAGTTTGATCCATCTTGGAGGCCATAGTGGGTTCTATCATGCAATCTTGGCGCCATGGTGGGTCAAACGACTTTCAAGAATGCCCTCGAGATGCCATACATAAACATTTTTTTTTTCATGAGTATGGCGAGAAAGGGGGAATATTGCTGAATAAGCATCGGGGCGGTCTTGGGGCGATGCTTGGCGCTCATGGGACCGTATTGGAGCCCCCTTGGGCCATCTTGGAGTCATTTTGAGGGTCCAAGGCCGATCGGAAGCGACAGGGCGAGAAGTCAACGCACATTGTTCTGCTATTGGTGTTTGGTCGGAGTTTTGCCTTTCGAAGGCGTTCTTAAGAAAGGCTTCGCTGCCACGAGGCCGCCGTTTTGGAGCAGTCGTTTTGGAGCAGTCTTGGGGCTTCTGGAGGAATCTCGGAGGCCATCTTCAAGCATCGTGGATACCTTAAACCATCTTGGACGCCATCTTAAGGTGCCTGGGGCCATCTTGGGCCATCTTCGACGCTCTAGCTGCTCGCCGCACTCCCGCCCCCAGCTCAGACCTACGGATAGGAGGTGCCGCAAAGGAAGGAAAAATGGCGTTGGACGAGGACGCGCCCCAAACCACCTCCGCCCACAGGGTTGGTAGGATTGAATTGGGATGCTGCCCCGTGCGCTGTCTGGATCCACCGAGGTTTCGCCTGGTGGGCGGCCGTGCCTCGTTGGTGCCCCTTGCGCTGGCTGTGTCTACCGAGCTGAGGTTTCGTCTGGTGGGCAGCCGTGGGCGCCTCGTGGGCGCCTCGTCGGCGCCCCGTGCGCTGGCTGGATCTGCCGAGGTTGTGCCTCGTTGGCGGCCGTGGATCAGTGGGCGCCCCACGGTGGCTTGCATCATGTTGCTTGCGTTACATTGACATGCACCAATTGGCTTGAAGCTTCATAGCTACAACCGCAAAGTTTGCAATTCTTTCGCCGCATAGCTTACACCACCTACCTTGCGCACCACAACGCTTGCACCACCATGCTGGTACCGCATGGCGTGCACCACACACATACATGTCTATCTATATGTATGTATATATATATATATGTATCGATCTATATGTTTTGCACCACCGTGTTTGCAGCGCAACTAGCTTGCACCAGATATCTTGTACCAGGTACCGCACCCAGACTGCACGAACCCACTTCTTGACTTCTTCGGTTTCACGCTGGCAGTCATGTTTATGTCGATTCTTGTTCCTCTAGTATGGGGGCGGGCGAGACAGGGGGTGAAGAGACAAGGGGCTTGCGAAGACTGCCGCACGCAGCCGTCATTGGCCCCGCCGTCTCTGGGCGCTCAGAGGCACCAGGAAATCAGGTGTCCATACATCTGGCCCCCAAGAGGTTTAGACCCTCTTTCTTAGAACAGGCTGTTCATCCCGAGTGGTGTTTTCACTGCCCGAAGCCGGTAGTTGGTGTTGGGAGGCGGAACCTACCAAGAAAATTCTAGACGCTTCGCGTATCCCCACCAGCCCGTCCAGAAATGAGCCCCAGGGGAGTGGAGGTGATGAGGGAAGCGGGGGAGCATGCAGAAGAACAAAGGGCGGGGTGAGCCGCCATATACCCCAAGAGGGGGAGGATGTAGGAGGAGCCGTCGTCGTCGGAGTATGTGTATCCCGAGACAATCACGAGAAAATCAGAAGGAGGAAAAGGAGGAGGAGGAGGGAGGAGGAGGAGGAGGAGGAGGAGGAGGGGGAGGAGGGAGGAGGAAGAAAAAGAGGAGGAGGAGGAGGACAATGGCGAGCTTGGGGGCCTCTTGGGCCGTCTTTGGGGCCTCTTGGCGGTCCCGGGGGCCTCTTGCGTATCTCGGGGAGCCTCTTGCGGCCTCTTGGGGGTCTCTTGGGGGCCTCTTGGAGGCCTCTTGGGAGCCTTTTGGGGCCTCTTGGGGCCCTCTTGGGACGCTCTTGGGGCGCTCTTGGGAGCCTTCGAGGCGCTCTTGGGGCCATCTTGGAGGAGATCTATCAAAGAAGGGGGGGTCCCCAATTAGCGCTGCCCCTCTAGAGTGCCTCGAGTCGCCTCTTGGGCTCCCCAAGAGGCCAAAATCCTTACAAAACCTATGGAAAATCAATGTTTTTTGCTTTCTCGCATTTTCGCTCTTGGAGCCTTCTTGGGCCATCTTGGGAGCCTCTTGGGGCCTCTTGGGGGTCTCTTGGGAGCCTTTTGGAGGCCTCTTGGGCGCCTCTTGGCGTCTCTTGGAGCCTCTTGGGGTTCTCTTGGGGCGCTCTTGGGGCGCTCTTGGGAGCCTTCGAGGCGCTCTTGGGGCCATCTTGGAGGAGATCTATCAAAGAAGGGGGGGTTTCCAATTAGCGCTGCCCCTCTAGAGTGCCTCGAGTCGCCTCTTGGGCTCCCCAAGAGGCCAAAATCCTTACAAAACCTACAGAAAATCATTGTTTTTTGCTTTCTCGCCTTTTCGCTCTTGGAGCCGTCTTGGGCCATATTGGATTCTCTTGGGGCCTCTTGGGAGTCTCTTGGGAGCCTCTTGGAGGCATCTTGGGCGCCTCTTGGGGCCCTCTTGGGGCGCTCTTGGGGCGCTCTTGGGGCGCTCTTGGGAGCCTTCGGGGCGCTCTTGGGGCCATGTTGGGAATATATATCAAAGAAGGGGGGAGCCTGAATTAGCCTCGCCCCTCTAGAGTGCCTCGGATCGCCTCTTGGGCCCCCCCAAGAGGCCAAAATCCTTCCAAAACCTAAGGAAAATCAATGTTTTGTGCTTTCTCGCCTTTTCGCTCTTGGAGCAGTCTTGGGCCATCTTGGGCGTCCCAACGCGTCGCGGAACGCCCCGTCCAGGTCAGTGGGGAGGGGTAAGGGGAGGGGTAAACCCCTCCCCGAAGGGAAAGAAGGGGGGTTGGCAGAGGAAACGCTCTAGACCACCTACGCCCTAAAGGGCTGGTGGGATTTCGTCGTGCTTGGGACCTCCCCTTTTTCGTCCGACCCGATCGCGTCATCGCTGCAGCATCTCTGCGGCCAAGCCGCCCCGAGGCAACACACCCGCGCCGGCCGACGCCTCCAAGGCTTCCACGTCGGACGAGGCCAGGCACGCGCTCTCGCTCACGCCTCCGGGTGCCCCCACTGGGGTTTCAGACCTCCTCCTCCTCGCCTTGGTCCTCCTCGTGCTGCCCGTGTTCCTACAGGCGGCGGATCTGCACGACACCGCAGAGGAGGGGGAGGGGGGGCAGGAGGTGAAACAGCAGCAGGAGGAGGAGGAGGACGAGGAGCGAGGAGGGTCGTGGTTGAGGCTTCAAGGCTCCCGAGCCCCCCGCTTACGTGTTGAGGCATGGGAGAGGCGCCCGAGGGCCTGAGTTTCTGCGTGGGGCGCCTCAGAGAGGCTCCGCCGTTGGCGCTTCCTCGTTTTCGCCGTGGCGACGCCACTAAGCACACGTCCTTCGTCGCCAGGGCCAGCCTCTCGTAATACCAGTCGCACCGCACCCTCGGGAGAGGCTTGGGGAGTGGCGGGATCTGTATAGTTCTGTTCCCCCAGCGGACGGCGTGGGAAACAGGGCGGCGGCAGGTTCGCCCTGCAGAAGTCGAGGCGACGCGTCCGCATGTTTGGATCCAGGATTTGGGGTCCAGCCACAGATCCATCGCTGGGTCAGCTTGATGTCCCAAGGCTCCTGGATAAGTCGTTCCAGAGTGTTCCGCAGCGCTCTGGGACGGCCGCGGCGCCCGATGCATCCCCCAGCAGAGGTCCCCGATGTTGTCCGGTCCCATCGTGCCCCGGGCATGGCCTGGATGTGAGCAGCTTCGGGTCCAGACCCGAAGATATCCAGCTCCTTTGCCTCCTGGGGCCCCGCGGCGTTGGCTCCCGAGGCGGAGGATCTGTGTCAGCCCGGGCCCCGTGAGGCTGGTGGGCTCGGCAAACATGTGGGGGAGGCTCCCCATAGGTATAGGGAAACGCACCTGCACCCCAACGTGCCACCCCTCCCTTCGGGCTGCGCCAGAGAGTCTCAAGACTTGTTCGTGAGGATGTTTTGCACGAGCGGCGCAACAAGTATGCAGTATCTCCCACTTCCACCTGCCCCTCCTGTTTGGAGGGGAGCGGGCAGGTAGGGGTGGTGGTATTCTCCTGCTACCATGCTCTTCAAGATTCACGGGGGAAGCGAACACCTTCATAGGAGCGAACGCAGTAAGTAGCTTCGCATAAGTTACGAGCACACCCCGAAAACAAGTTCCTGGGGAGTTTCATGATATTATCAAACAAGGGGCGAGTTCTTAGATCATGATTGCGTACGTCCCCTCGCCTAGATGGACGTGTCCACCAGAGCTTCTTGGTGGCTTTTGTATACCTTTCTTTCTTATCGTGCATCCTCCTGGTTGTGGAACTGGAAGTTATGGCGGGCCCAGGAGGCGTGACCTCGAGGGAGGGGAGGGGGCCATCCCGAGGGATGCGTACGCGAAGATGTCTCGACGGGCCCTCCGAGGCGAAGGCCCCATGGTTCAGCGCTGCTGATGCCGTTGTGGCTCGAGCCGGCGTGCGCTGGGCCTTGGGATGAGCCCCTGAGCTGCGCCTCTGGCGGCCATGGCCGAGGAGGAGGAGGCGCGTGCGCTCGTTCAGTCGCTTCGCAGGAGAATGAGAGTGGAGGGGGCGTTCTTGCGTGGTCACTGCTGCGTCGGTATTGCGACGATTCTTTGTTCGAGTAGTTTTCGAGGGCAAGATGCCATGCATAGTGAGTTTAAGGGAGGAACAACAACACCCCAACCCGCCGTACCTGGCGTTAGCTAAACAGTCCTGGGCGTTTACTAGAACAGTTCTTCCCTGCTCGATTCCTTCCGTGGGTGCGTTCACGACATGGCATTTGTTGTAGAGGCGTTGATTTTGAGAGTGGCTCTTCTGCCCTCTATGAATGGTGCTTCCCATGAGGCTCCTTTTGTGGGACCGCTCGTCGGAGGCCCAGCGTAGCGGCGGCGCAACTGTCGGGCAGCCTTCCCAGGGCCCCCGCGGCCCGCGAACTTGATTGAATGGGTCACCCGTGAGGGGGCGAAGATAGTCGAGTTTTGCACGTCGCGGTCGATGCCTCAGCGGCGGCCCTTCGCCAACGGGGATGGCGCGAGGGTGCGACGAGAATCGCGCGTCTCGCATCGCCTGGCTCGATGCGCGAAGTTCGGTGGCCTACTTTGTGTCTTCTCTCGGGGCCTGTCTGGGGTGTGGGTGGGGGGAAGGGCGCAATCGAAGAAGAGAAGCCGTTATCTAACATAAGCCTTCGGAGGTTCCCGCGGTTCTCATGAGTCCGGCGCTGGATCCAAAACTTCCGCGTGGACATCCGAATGTCTGCTGGCATGACTTTATCTCTTCTCCCCATGCTGGGGGGGGGGAATGGAGGGCGGAAGGCAGGGGCCATGATGGTTGAATGCGGCATCGGCGCTCTGGTATGTTGCAGAGCCTGGCCCGGCCTCGCCCAGCATAGTTCGCGCTTTGTCAGCAGGCCCGCATTGTATACTAGTGCTTCCTTTTTGCCACGCTACGAAGACCTCCCAGGACTTGTCTCCTACAGGAGGAGATCGGAGGGCGGAATGGTTGGCGACTCTCTGTCCAGGCCGCCCCGCGCCCCAAATTATGATACGGACGCATGTCGATGGGCGGAAAGCGTTGAGGTTCAGAGGAGAAGCGAAGCACTCAACAATCTGCAGAGGTTTCCTATGAAATTTGATCGAGGGGGAGAAGAGCGGGGCGTGGCCCGGAGTGGGACCGACCCAGCGTGGAGTCTTTTTCAAAAACGACGGAGACGCAGAGGACGGCGGGTCTGACCATCAAGGGGGCCTGTGAGAGTTGGGCAGGAGTCCAGGATCAGTGGCGCGGCCAGGCCTGGGATCATGGGCGCTGTCTGGTTCAAAAGAAGCGTCAATCTGGGAGGAGGCTGCAAGAATGCCCAACAAAACAAGGGGGTTCACGAAGAGGCGTGAATAGCAGCGACGGTCTGCACTCGAACAGATTGCGCACGCTGATCACGGGCTGGCGAATGGCAGTATGGGGCCGAGGGATGCAAGTCAGAGGGAACATGATGATACGACGTTAGGCCGTCCACGATTTGAACGTCTTGTCCCTTGCAGCTCTCAGATGCAGTGATCGATGTTTGGTTCCTTTGCGATTGGGGCCGCAAGGTGGACCCCTGGGGCCTCGTGGTGAGGCGCTCAGCAGCGCCGCGGTCGGACGCGCGGGTATCGAAAGTTACATTTTAAGGGGAGATGTCCAAGACGGTTCAATCCTCCGCCTCCCCACCCCTCGCCCTCTCGTCTCCCCTTCCTTTCTTTCTGCCTGTCTTCCCCCTTCTTCTCCCTCTCCCCCATCCTTCCCTATTCCTTTTTTCGCTTCTCCCTTCTTCCCCTCCCCCATCTTCCTCCCGCCTCTTCCTTTCCTCCTCGAAGCCTCCTCTTCCACCTTCCTTCGGGTCCCCCTGGCTCTCTTGCCAGCCACCCTTTGTTCGGAGGACCCCACGCGACATCAAGAACGCAGATGAGGAAGAGGGGGCTGGATACCCAGGATATTGAAAAGGGTGTGTGGCAATCGAGCGCTCAATGGAATTCACAAAAGTCTGAAGGACAACACTCTGCTCTCATCATCCTTCCCTTATCTCTCATCTCTCGCAATCGCGGGCTCACCCTTCTCCGTCAGCTCAGCCTCAGCCTGCGAGTTGCCCCCGTGTGCCAACACGAAAGTGTATCATCTTTTTGTGGCCCGACCCTTGTGGCTCAGGCGCTCGGCGGATTTGCGTAACAGTTGGGCGCAGATGCTGGTCCTTGGGTCGTGCGCCCTCGACGCCGCGCGGCGGCGGTTCAGCAAGGTGCTTTATGTCTACGATCCTCTAAGCCCGAGCCTGGCGATTCAGGCGGATGAGCTCGAGTTCGATGGAACGCTCGGGCAGGTAGCGGCGGCCGCAGACTTCAACGTGGAGGATGCGCGGCTAACGCTGAGGGAGTTCGTGGACCAGGCAGAGGCCGATGAGCCTGTGCAGAAGCGGCTGGGGGTGTTCCATGGCTGCCCTGAACGGGCCATGCTGGAGGATGCCGTGACGAACCTCGTGGCGGCGGCCAGCCGACCGCCGCCGGGGGCCCGCGCGATGGCCGGAACCCAGTTCGCGCGGAGGTGCCGTGCTGCAGCGGACGAGAGCCGTCGCGGGTTGGAGGCGCGAGAGTGGGTTCGATGGAAGCCTCGCTTGATTTTGCTGTTCGGGGGAATGTGAGCGTCCTCGCCAGACTCAGCGCGACCGTGCATGGGGCGAACGTGCGAAGTGCGGCATCATGATGGGCCGCACGCACATCAACGCGGTGAGGTCGGTCGTGTGAGCCATGGGGACGATGCGCAGGCAGCTGTTGCGCCAGCGCGGCGTCTTGTGTGCCAGGCCAATCGTGCATGTCATCTTTAACTTGCACGCCTGGGCTGTCGAGTCGCGCGGGCAAGCGGTGCCCAACAGTGCCTTGCGCGCCATGGTGTGGACGGAACGGCCCAGGCGCGCAGTGGCCTCGAAGTGGGCGGATCGGCATCCGCCGCGACTGCGCTGCTAATTCCATGGGCCTCTCGGCGGCGAGGGCGGCTCGGGTAGCGGCCTGGCGTTGGGGGGCGGTCGAACGCGGCGCAGTCCACGCGAGCGAGACGGCGTTGGGCTTGGGCTTCCTGGGTTTCGGTAGTGGTCCTTGTGTGGGAAAGGCCGCCCCCGGGGCCCGCGCGCGCCAGGCTCGTCGGCGTCGCGAGGACCGGCAGGAAGAAGGTTTCCCTACCGTGGGCGGTCAGGGCCGCGCTGCCGCGGCCGGTGAGCGACTTGTCTCTGGGCGAAAGCAGGAGGCGCCCATCAAGTTCAAAACCGAGAGGGCTGAACACTTCAGCTCGGGCGCGGTGGCGCAGCGAGGGCGTCGTTGGATAGGCGGCCTGGAAGTACCGCCGAAGGGCAGCGCGCTTGAAGCTCGTTGGAACGCACTGGATTGTGGCGTTGAGCTCCTTGACGCGCTCCTCTGCGTGAAGCGGTTTTCGAGGACCGGGGGGCTTCGCTAGAGGACGAACCTCAAGATGGCGGCGTCGACGAACGACCTGGAGAACGTCTGCGCAGTGACCGGGGCCGCGTCGACCAAGTGGCCGTCGACGGTCCTCATTGAACTTTTGGAGAAGCTGCGTTCACATAGATAGTGCTGAGCCTGGACGGGCTACAGCGAAAGGAACTTGGGAGGCATGCGACCTCAGCAACACGAGGACGATCGATTTTGACGAGTTTCTGTCAGGATCCGCGTGGCGGCCGCGAAGCCGAGGCCGCACGTGCTCGACGTCTCGACGCAGGCAGCCCAGGAACTCTTCGAGTCGGTCGCCGAGGAAAGGGTGGCCGCCTCGGGCGGGGCGCCCGCAATTGGGCGCGGCCGCGGGAAACGCCAACCACACTTGCGCCCTGAACCGTGGCGACAGCCCCGCTCAGCGCGTTTCGGACGACGTCGCGCGGGCGGAGTTGGGTGCGGTTGCGGCGTCGCGCTGGGCCCCATGCGACCCTGCGGGGCGGGGGCCCAGCAGCGAGGACCCATGGCGCGCCTACGGGAAACCCCAACCCTTTCGGTGGGCGCCGCCTCGGGCAACGGAGGGCCCCCTCTTTTCGCTCCTGCCCCCCCCCCCTTTCCGCCGCGGCGGCGGGGTGGTCCAGGGGAAGGGCGCCCAAATAGAGTGAAATTTCCGATGAAGGGTCCTGGAGTGTGGGCAGGGCTTCGAGGCCGCCCCTGCTCCCTCGCGCAGTGGCGCAATGCGGTCGGGGAGAGGTGGCGGTGCCCATGTGGACGAGGCAAGAAGCAACGGGGTGCGGGGGTGGGCGTTCGACGCTTGCAGATTCTGGCGGGGGGCCCGTGGATCCGCCCCCGCACCTTAGGGCCTTCTTCCTCCCTTTTGGGTGGCCCAGTCCCATCGCAAAGGGGGGCTTCAAGTTCCTGGGAGTGGTTTGGGCCCTGCGCGCAGGCCCCCGGATCTGCTACCCGCAAGAAGTATCAGCATCATCTTCGGCTCCTCCTTTGCCGCCATTGTACCATTATTGGCTGCTCGGGTGGTCGTGTGCGCGCGCGCGTGCGTGTGTGTGTGTGTGTGTGTGTGTGTGTGTGTGTGTGTGTGTCTGTGTGTGTGCGTGTGTGTGTGTGCGTGAGAGAGAGAGAGAGAGAGAGAGAGTGGGTTGTGTGGTGTCCTGTTTTTTTCTCGCCCGTCTCTCCTCTTTCGTTGTCTAGTAGTGTCGCTGCCGGGTAACAGCTTCGGATCCAATAGTTGTAGACATTTCGAGTATTCCCACTATGGTGCACCTTCGCGTGGGAAGATGGTGCCCACGTCGGCCGTTACAGGCTGTTCTCTTTCAGACGGTCCTGGCTTGGGCCCCAGGTCTCCCCACCCAGCGTGAGCGCACTGCTTTCGATATCGCCCCTGATTTCGAACGCGAAGATCCTTACATATTTTCTCCGCCTGTTTGCTTGGCGGTGTTCAGTAGGGTCGATACAACAGGGTCGCAGTGGTCCAGTTCCGTTCGTTTTCTTGCACTTCTTCTCCCAGCTTCATCTCCCCCTCATCTTCCTGTTCTTCCATTCCGCGCTTGCTTTCTCATTTTGGAATCTTCCGCGCTGTCACTCAACCCGTTCCGATTTCTTCCCGATGTCTCTCTACCCTTCGGTTCCCTTCCACGCTGGCTACACAGGGGGTAGCGGCAACAGAAGCTCGTGAACAGGCCGCTGGACAGTAGTCGTGCGAGAATGTTTGGATAATTGTGGGCGCAGCGATGAACGGCATAGGACGGATAACGCATCGGGGATCACTACAATAGTTGCAGTGTGCGAAGCTAAATTCGATTAGTGGTGTTGGTTATGATAGCGTGCGCAACGCGCCATATGGTTCTAGCGTTTCGTTGTGTGTCCATATGCATGTATAAACGTATATATGGGTATCTATACATAAATATACATGTACAGCTTCTACACTTTCTTCCAGTCGTAGTCATGCCGGGAATGTGTGGTCATGTATGCCATGTGGCCCGAATGTGAACCATGCCCGAGCGCGGACACATGTATCAAATTGTCAGAGCCACATGCTTAGCAACATGTCTAGATCCACTTCCGCGGAATCCTGCCTTTGGATTTCGAGAAACGGTGGATCTTGATATCTGCCCGCCCGCGGGGGCGGACAGGTATCCATATCTTCCGCTCCCCGAGTCTCCTGGGACACCCCGCAGCAGCGGATATGCACATATTTCCGCGACGCATACAAGAGCCATGTTTTGGTACCCCGTCCAAGTAATCTGTTTGTGAAGGGATAAGGAAGAGGGGTGATGATGATGATGATGATGACGATGATGATGATGATGATGATGATGATGCTGATGATGATGATGATGATGGTGGTGATGATTCAGATGATCATGATGGTGATGGCGATGATGACGGCAATCATGGTTTTGATAATAATGACGATGATGTTGATGCTGATGGCGATGATGATGGTGACGATGTTGATGTTGGTGATGGTGATGATGATGTTGATGCTGATGTTGATGCTGATGCTGATGCTGGTGATGTTGCTACTGATGGGGAGGAGGACGATGAGCAGGAAGAGGAGACACATAAACAACATGATGAGAAGGTGGAGGAGTGGGCGGGGTCGGGGGCGTGTCTGAGGCGGACGTGCAGGGCGTCAATGGCGATGTGGCCGAGGAGGACGCGGCGGGCGGGTTGCCGCGTCCGAAATGTGCCTTTGAATCACTTCGACTCCATCGATATTGGCTCGATGTTTAATCCAGCCTGCCC